TACCCATTTTTATTCCATTTACGCAGCTGCACCATTGAAAATGGTCCTTGAACCTTTCCAGATGGATCTTGATAATGCCACATTTTCTCTGTTTCATTAATTTGGCCAGCACTTGTTACTCCAGAAGGAGGTGGAGGTGGGGATGCAGGTGAAACTTCTGACACAATATTAGAAGATGATTCTGGCATTATGATAGACTGGGTATTCCAAGCACCAATCTCCACAGGAGTTTTCGGCTTATCCCAAGTGTTTGGTTGTGTTTCTCTTTCCTGTCCTAAAATCCATAAATTTTCATTCCCCATCTCACCTGTTCCAACAGAATCATACTTGCTTGAGATACCTTTACCAGAGAGGTTTCTGCTTATTTCTTGATTTGTGCTTGAATAATTTCTTGTCCCACTCCAAGAGTCACTCAAACCAAAGCCTCCTTTCTGGGGAGAAACTGCCTCCTTCCCTCTCCTGCTAAAGCTACTGCCTCTTGGCCTCATATAGTTATCTGCATAAACCAGAAAAAAAAAAAAAAAAAACAAATAAGCAAGATACAATGGATAAGATCGAGTTTGAAAGTATCATGAGGAAAGAGAGAGACCATTTCTCCTATCATTTGTTTCATCTTCATCTTCTTCAGACTCATAACTTGGATCCATATTTGGGTCAGCATGTATTTCTGGAATCTCCTCTAGCCTTCGTTGACGCTCCTCAGGAGTCTTTAGTAGCTGTAATTTCTCCACACATTCTCTAAGCGTAAACACGAGTCAAAGATTATATCAAAAAAATATAGAGAACTGTATAATATATACAATTATCACAGTTAGTGTCTTTTTCTTACTCACCCAAGTATGGCATTTCTGGCAATCCACCAAACGGGACAAGAAACACTAGAAATATGAAAAACTATCCTCCAATCTAAATATAGCAATAGCATGACTGTAATGCATTAAAACAAAATTTTCTGAGGACTTCATCAGGTATGCTTATTGAGTTTATTACTGAACCATTGAAAAAGGTACTCTACAGTAGCCTACTTTCATCACCATCCCTAACAATGACATTCTAAACCAAGCATTACTTACAATGCCCTCAGCTTAAACCACTTCATTTTATAGTGAAGTCAGACCCTTAAATAACCTGTGCACTCCTCAGACTTCTTTTGGAAAAGGATGTCAGTAGTTCTCTTAAAAACAAAAAATTGAGCTTAACATGCTTTGCATAAATCTAATAATTTTTGTTAGCTATATAATGTGATATACATCTTCTTCTTTTTTCTTTTTTATGTGTAATCAAAACAAAATTATCTGCTTAAGAGATGAATCAGCCAAAGCAAACAAAATTAAATAATTAGTCAATATTGCTCATTTATCACTTTAGCCTAGAAATAAAACCAGTTGAGACACATAATGTCCAGTCACTTTCTGGGAATCAAGTTTAATATTTGTACCTTTTAAAATATTTTTTTATACTCTATAATAGAAGAGGATATAGATGGGGGTAATCAAACAATTTCCAGATTCTACCAGCACATTTAAAGTTATAGATTTTAAGAGCCAACAGTTGATTAAGCGTTCTTAAAGTAGTTTCATCAGTCAAGCATCATATGAAATTTTCAACAACTAAAAGAAAACTGCAATACACAAAGGATATTCTTTTTTACGGCCTTTTTCACTGGCTCGATCACGGAGATGACTAAGTCTCACTATCTCTGATTCCAACCACTGCATTAACATATAAAAAATAAATAAATAAATAAAAAAAACTTCAGACATGCTAGGGAATTGATATTAAAATTACGTGACTTATCCAGGTCAATCGCGGTACTATTAAGACAGTAAATGATTTTGATTTATCATCAACAATCAAGACTTAGCACATAAAAAGGAAGTGAAATTTAAGGATAATATTTCTGAGATGTTTTCTATAAAATCTCCCATGGTACATTCCTCCATTTCAATTGATTTTGAGTAATTCCATCACATCAAATCTAAAGTTCTAAACAATATAAACAGTAAACCCACAGATTGGAGCAGGCAAAAAAAAAAAAAAAACAAACTTCATTAAATATGGGCTTTTACTTTTCCCTGCTCCCAGAACCAGAGAAATCAAATAAGCATGGTTGCACACAAAGAGTCAAACAACATGGTAAAAGGAGCAAAGCAATATATTGTGTAACCCTTAGAAGCATTTTAACAAGAAAACAGAAAAGTAAATCATAACAAATAAATTTGACCAGTATGCTTATGCTGCCCAATCTAACATAGCAAGCTAGAAGTAACATCACTGCCATTAAAGCAAGCCAAATTAAATTTGTTACTATTTTTTTAAAAGGGCATGCAATTGTTTATTTTAATTGCATTAGTAACCATGGAGCAAGAAGATCAATAGATATCACACAGGAATGGCCATCAGAACCTTGTTTCATCAAAAAGTTAAAATATAATAACAATTGCACACAAGAAACTTCCATTTAAAAAAAAAAAGGGTCATGAGAAACTCACATCTTTGACTCTAACAGCCTGCAGTGTCATGGCCTTTTCCTGAACGTCACCCTACATGCAATAAATCAATTTTCTAAGGACAATAAAAATGAAAATAAAAAACACAAAGGAAAACATAAAACGGCATATTATGTATCATAAAAATAAATGCAAAGTACCACACTCAACCGGCCAATCAGTCCACACTTTATACTCTGGCGCAGACGTTTGCATTCATCCTGAGCAATGTAAAGAACATGCTTCAACAATAAATAAGAACAAGATATAACTAAGTGACAAGACCATAAAAATGTACCAAACACTGCCCCAGTACAGTGTAAATAAACGTGTCTTTCACAAGTTTCAAGAATAGAACCACCTCCCCCCCTACACATTCAACATTCAAGACAAGTAGAAATTCATAGTGGAGAGATAAAATGCATTAGTTCTGCTGCCAATAATTACCTCCGTGAACTCCTGGTTTGATATTATATCAATCGAAATGACCTCTGACTTGTTCAAATTTAATATCTCTAGCAAAAAGTCAGTTGTTTTTTTTCCAACTCTATAGGGTTCAGCTGCTTTGCCTATACCTGCATTCAAAATTGTTTTGCAACTTTGTGAACTTATAATGTTTCATTATGATCAAGCCAAAAACAAAATAAAAGATTAGAGAATCAACCAACTACATACCAACAACTTGCGCAAGTCTATACAAGTCTTGCTTTTGACTAGCACCAGAAATTCTTATTCTCACAAAAGCACCAACAACTTTTTCACGCAATGCTTCAGTATCTTCAAGAAGATCCTCCACCAAATTACGTCGTAAGTAAAGTAGATTAATGTTGTGCATATCAATGGCTGCATAATCATCAAGATTAGATTGAGGTGCCCTATTGCCCTTTTTACGAGTTTTTCGTTTCTTATCTTTACTAGCCTTAACCATGGCCTCAGAGTTCCAATCAGCATCCAATGGATTGGACTCATCATCCACAACAGTGCCCTGAAGATCATCCATCTGAGAATCCTCTTTTGTGAAAAAAATGTGAGGATCTAGAAGGTTTAACATTTCAATATGCCCCACTCTGGGTTTCCCAAACAAACTTTTGAGCCTCAAATCACAAATGACATAAGACTTATTGCGACGATCACGGAGTTCATGCTTTTTTATGTAATCCAGTATAAGTTGATTCAGTTCTATTCTAGATAAAACAGATTTGTCACCATTTCTCATGTGCATAACTACATCAAGGAGCTCTTGTGAAGCCCACTCATTCTTTCCACCTACAGATGCTCCTTCAGCACCAAGCACTGTTATTGTGCTAGGTGAATCACCCTCCCTGGCACGAGACTTTGACTGACTCCTAGTCTTTCTTCTTTTGGGAAGAGACACTTCAGCATTAACACCATCTGAACCAGATACTATGTCATTATTAGAATCATAAGGTTCATGTGGCAGTTCCTGTTTTGAAGCTTGTAATTCAGATCCTTTCCATAGGTTTTTAGCTTTAGCAAGTTCATCAGAAGTTATAGATAGTTGTCCTTTTAAATCAATCCAATAATCCTTGAAGAGATACTCCCAGCTACTCTTATCATCAAAATCTACTTGTGCCTGTAAAAGTAACAAAAAACTAGAATGTGTAAACAAACCATGATACCATAAAATATATATATATATCATAAAGTAGGCAGAAGAGAGTTGTTCTACAAAATGAAATCTAGTGATAGCGCCCATGAACTCAAGCAGAAACAGCCTCTAATGGTGACTGGATATAGAAAATGCTTTTTATCTACTGGGCAGAATTAAATGGAAAATGAATGCATGTTTAACTCATTTCTTATTCTTATGCCCAAAGACTAGCTTACCCAAACACTGGCAACCTAACCATGTTTATCCATTTCTGATTTTTTTAATAGAATACCATGTTTATATTCCATTCTTCATAGTCTTGAACATTAGTTTGATACCTTGATGGAAGATGGACAATGCAGAAATAATGGTTTGAGTAAAAAAACCAAAAACTGAACTGAATAGAGGAGTGGGAGGGAGATTGGCACACATACGGTTTCTTTGCTTCCCTGCTGATTCCTTTCAATCAATGTTATAAGATTCATGCATGACTCACAGAAGCCTTTATTGCCCCTAACAGAAAAGATTACGGCATCTTTGATGCATCCTTTGCACAAGGAAAATGCACATGTGTAACACATGTAATAGGCATTCTTCTTACAGTTGCTGCACAGATGCCAACCTAAATGAAAGAAATGGCAATGCTAAAGTTAAAGATAGATAACACAAGGTAAAAGGTAACTTTGAACATGAGAATATAAAAATAAAAACATAGAATCTTTACAGTGAACATGAAATTAAGAAAAATTGTTTGTTTATAAATCCAATGAAGCCAACAAGCAAATAGTAACATGAGTATTGGCAAGAACTTGAAGAAAATTCATGAATGTAATTCTTAAAATGGATTCAAAACCTAGTCAATTCATGCTCTTCCACATCATTTGAAAACCTTGTGCCTGAAAGACCATCTCATCCAACATATTGTGAAGTTCACACTATATGTGTTTTCCAAGTTTAATTGTCTTAGCCACTTAGACCAAGAAGTAGCAACCAAGTAACATTGGCAGCATAATGTTACACAAGAGCCTCTCTCAGTCCTTCCCTTCTACTCTTATACCTTAATTTTTGCCACACAAAAAATGCTCCCCATTGCTTGTTCCCATGCTAAAACTTTTTAAATTTCCTCTAGTAGAGGAACACTGCTTAAGGCTACAAAAGGAAACAAAATCTTTCATACTCCAGTGCTTTCAATAGAGTAGGTTCACTTCCACAAGTAATTGACCACTTCAGGTAACTGCAAATTGCAAGGGTTCTTATTTTTCTACACTTATTTGCAGTCTGCAAATGGTTTAAACAAAGAAACAGAAGGCATTCCCGTTGGTTTCAGGAACAAGCATTTAGGGTACATCTCAAGCATTCACTTTGAACAAGGGTTGCAATCCATTACTCTTTGTAGCAACTTTTACTTGCAAGAAACGACCCAAAATCCAATGCCATGGCTCTAAAATCCCATGAGAAATGATAAAACTTCATCTGTTGGAAACTCATGAATTTAAACATGCCATATATCATCAGTCTGCCTACTGATACATTTTGTATGTAAGTGGACCTCTTGCCAGTTTTACATATGATTAAATCATTGCAGGTGCCACAAGTGTCACTGGGGCTTCTCAAGCATTTTATAAAATCTAAGTACATGGGTGGTATAGTTCCAAAGTTATGACTAAAGAAAAGAAAAAGGCTGGTTACAAGAATCCAATGACAAGCTTGAGAAGTCGTATTCAAGCAACAGCAATATGTCACTTGAAAGCAATGCCTTTGAGACCTTGGACATTCATGGACCTGTGATGCTGAATTACAAGTGGTCCATCACATTCCATGCTGATAATTACAACTTGCCCCTTTCCCTCAGAATCCAAAGATTGTAACTAGTGCCAGCATTTGCCTTGAGTAGAAATGATACACGCACCCTAATTATTGAAGATATAAGACTTCACATGGTGAAAGGTTAGAAAAGCCCATTTGAGGGCATGCAAAACTTAAAAAGCATGCTGTGGCAAAAATGAAGATTGAACTTCCTGTTTCTTCACAAAAGCCCACTCCAGCAAGCTTCTCTGTTCTGTAACAAACCTTTTGCAAAGAAAAGAAGTAACCACTTCAATTTCAATACCCATAACAAAATTTGAATTAAAAAGGAGACAGTTCAAAGAGTTAAGTAAGATTCCAACAGACTTTATAATAAGCAACTGCTCCTCAGTCCTCACTTGTAACTTTTTTAGGCACAAATATATACCATTAAGCACATAATACTTCATCTTACAGAACATAATACCATCATTGCAGACTACTTTAAATAACCTTAAAATTCTAGCTAAAATGTAAAAGCAAAATAATACACTGTTCTCAACAATTCTCTTTCATTTTTTTTTTTTTTTTAAAGCATCAGAAGCATCAAGCATGAAGAAACAACTCACCACAGTTCCATTGACCCTTGGTTTGGAAAAATGCCTCATCACGACCAACACAGGAAGAATGGTAAGCCTTTGGGCATCCCCTGAGCAGAAACAGAACCCAAATCTCAAAATAAAGAGCAAAAGTATGGTTACAACAAAATTAGGATAATTAAAAAAATTGTGAACTGATTTAGTATCTGCACCTGCGGTCACAGAGTACAAGGTCCCCACCATCATAGCAGATGAAACAAACATCCTCCTCCGCCTTCTTCCTTGAAGGAGCCCTTCCAAGGGCCTTAGAATTCTTACCCCGCTTCCTCTTGCCACCACCGGTTTTACCCACTTCCTCCACCTCCTTTGCTTCCTCCATCTCTTCTGCAACCTCCTCTAAGCCATCAGTTAGCTCAGCCATTGCAGTCCCCTCCGCAATATCAGCCTCCTCCATCTCTTCTGCAACCTCCTCTAAGCCATCCGTTAGCTCAGCCATTGCAGTCCCCTCCGCAATATCAGCCTCCTCCATCTCTGCCTCTGTCTCTTCCTCTACTGCAGTAGCCATCTCTCTATCATCTTCATTTTCTGTTTCATCTCCCATCTCAGTGTCATCTGCCTCCTCGGCTATGTCTGTTTCCAATGCCTCCTTCCCTTCCATCAGTAGATTAGTCTCCTCTAGAATCCCAGTTTCCTGTGACACATCAGGCAACTTTTCTTCCAGAATTTCCATTTCCCCATCCATGTTAGCCAACCCTGTTTGCTCTGTCAAGTAATTCTCCTGTTTCTCCTCCCCTTTTCCCTCTGGAAAAGCAGTTTGCGTTTGCTCCGCCATATCAGCCACCTCATTTTTCGTGGCAAATCTTCCATCCACCTTCATGGCCACCTCTGTTTGCTCAGGAATGTCAGTGCGCTCATCAACCTGTAAAACCTCGACATTTCTGCTTCTATTTGACACATCAATCACCTCTTTTTCCTCCGGAATCTCAGTTCGCTCAGCCACATCAGACACCTCAATCTCATTAGTTCCTCTTCCATCCGCCACAGCAACCACCACCGTCTCCTCGAGAATCTCGATTTGCTCCGCCACACAGGACCCCTCTGTCTCCTCCAATATTTGATCTTTTTCCACCACATCAGCCACCTCAATCCCGCCCACCGTCTCTCTTTCCCCTGCAATGTCAGCGACCTCAGTCTCGTCCGATTCATCACCCACCGCTACATCTCCCGCCGTGTTAGACTTGTCCTCCTCCACCAAAAAGCTCTGTTGGCCATCAACCCCAACCTCAATGCCGTTTTCTCCACCAATTGTAGGCAACGGTTCGACCGAATCACCACCCTCCAAAACTCCTCTATTCTCCTCTCCACCAATCAAATCCCCAACACCAACAGCCCCTAAAGACTCCTCGCCATCAACGACTCCCTTACTTCCCTTCTGTTCCTCTTTCTCAACAACTACAGATACAATCGTTGGTGCCTGCGGCTGGGACAGGGAGCCACAGCCACCCAACTCAACCACGGACTCAGGCTCGCATTGCAACTGGGTATTCTCCGGTTGCAACTCCACAAGCGTTGCTGTAGCTTCTACGTTACGGTCGGATGGAAGAGAAGGCTCGGGGTTTGGGACGGTGAGAGGTTCTTCTTCCTCCGTTTCCATTTGGGCAAATTGAAATTGAGAGAAACCCCTAGAGATTGAAAGGGGCTAGGGTTTTGAGTTGGGGATGGGGAGGGGGGGGATGTGAGATTTTCGGGTGTCGTTTTTGGTAGGAAAAAATAGAAAATTGAAGAGAGGGTCAGGGAAGCGTTATATAGAGTGTTGTGTTCGCACTTCGCAGGAGAGAAGAGGAAAACGCAGGCACGGAGGGGGAGAGGAGAACTCGATGTTGCCCAAGATTTTACTGTGTAATGACGAATTTACCCCTTCATAGAGGTGCATTTTGCCTATTTGGGCTGCGAGGCCCGGTTCTTAATTATCTTTTTGGTGACGGCCCATGATGTCAGAAAATATATATATATATATATATATAGAGAGTAGATTGTGGGGGTGATGATGGGGCTAGGCCGCTTGGGTTAGATTTTAAGCGGAAACCATAGCTGGGTCTGTCTATGAACCATTTCAAAAACCCAGACCCAGAGGCCCACTCTATATTTGAGATTTGGGCTAGAGCATAATGCGTTGCATACGTTATATATATATATATATATATAA